GATAATTAATATGACTCCTGCATTTTGTGTGAAATCATGTTTATAAATTCACCTTTGAGACTACAGTGGAGCAATAAAAGGGCACTGAGTTTCAAGTTAGAAGACCTGGGTTTTAGGTAACTGAGACAAATACATTCTTCCAGTCCTGTCCAATCTGCATATCATTAAAAAAAAAAATCTAATAACAAGCACTAAAATGCCTGGTAAAATAATGAATCAAAATGTTTTTAAGCAGAGCAGAAAGTTAATAAACAGTAAAATTTAGCCCCCCCCATAGAAATATAAAAAGTTCTCCTACCCATGGTAGATTACAAAAGTGGGGGGGAGTGTGGGGAAACACCTAGCTAATTTGGATGTGGATAATGGGGTACCATCTACTAAAAGTTTTAATGAATGTGCATGAGGGCATGTATGTATAGGAAAATCTTATCACCTCCTCACTTACCCTTTGGAAAATAAATGCATCGAATTAAATGGTCTCTAAAGTCTCTGCCAGCACAGGTAATTTATGTCAAATGATTAGCCTCAGTTTCTTCATCTGTAAAATTGGATTAATGACAGAATCTCCTTCCTATGGTTGTTGTGAGGGTTAAATGAGTTAATCCATGTAAAATGCTTATAACAGCACTACATACATTCAACTGTGTGGATCATACCAAATTATGGATAACGTTGCGAAGAATGGGAATTCCAAAACACTTAATTGTGCTCATGAGGAAACTGTACACAGATCAAGAACAGAACAAGGGGATACTGCGTGGTTTAAAGTCAGGAAAGGTGTGCATCAGGGTTGTATCCTTTCACCATACCTATTCAATCTGCATGCTGAGCAAATAATCCTAGAAGCTGGACTATGTGAAGAAGAACCCAGCATCAGGATTGGAGGAAGACTCATTAACAACCTGTGTTATGCAGATGACACAACCTTGCTTGCTGTAAGTGAAGAGGACTTGAAGCACTTACTGATGAAGATCAAAGATCACAGCCTTCAGTATGGATTACACATAAAGAAAACAAAAATCTTCACAACCAGACCAATAAGCAACACCATGATAAACGGAAAAAAGACTGAAGTTGTCAAGGATTTCATTTTGATTGGATTCACAATCAACACCCACGGAAGCAGCAGTCAAGAAATCAAATAACGCACTGCATTGGGCAAATCTGCTGCAAAAGACCTCTTTAAAGTGTTGAAAAGCAAAGATGTTACCTTGAAGACTAAGGTGTGCCTGACCCAAGCCATGATGTTTTCAATCGCATCATATGCATGCAAAAGCTGGGCAATGAATAAGGAAGACCGAAGAAGAACTGACACCTTTGAATTGTAGTGTTGGAGAAGAATACTGACTGTACCATGGACTGCCAGAACAAACAAATCTGTCTTGGAAGAAATACAACCAGAATGCTCCTTAGGGGCAAGGATGACTAGACTATGTCTCACATACTTTGGACATGTTATCAGGAGGGACCAGTCCTGGAAAAGGACATCATGCTTGGTAAAGTAGACGGTCAACGAAAAAGAGGAAGACCCTCAATAAGATGATTGACAGAGTGGCTGCAACAATGGGCTCAGGCATAATAATGATTGTGAGGATGGTGCAGGACCAGGCAGTGTTTCATTCTGTTGTACACAGGGTTGCTATGAGTCAGAACCGACTCGATGGCACCTAACATTATTACTGTATCCTTTTTGAGCATTAAAAAACAAATACTGGTGGGGTATCTTCTTGTGACAAGCATTGTGTTAGAAGATGAGGATACAGAAATAAGATGGTAGAAGTTGATTTTCTTAGATTAGGTAAGAAAAAATGAAATTGAAGTCTACAGTTTCAACTTCAGTGTGTCTATAAGTTAATGGTTCTCTGAGATGATGGTCAAATGCTGTTTAGCATTCCTAGTCTGTGAATTCTTATTTCTGAACAATGATTATTGTTGAAAATGTCAACTAATGTTCACTACAGGGCAAAACAGTGTTGTTACTAATGATATTCCTACTCATGTTTCAAAAGGGAAAGTTCAGTGTTTGCTGAGGCAATGGTTTAGGTTTTGAACACAGGTGGAAGATTTTAAGTGTTGGTCAGTCTGGCAATGTATATAAATTACAAGCCTCCGACTCAAACAAACTTGCCACAGAAGTCTAGTTACATTTATTTATCCATTCAACAAATGTTTGCTGAGTACCTACTATATACTAGTGTCAGCTACAATGATGAGTAAAGAGAAATGGTCCTTACTATTAGGGAGTAAGGGAAGACAAACCAGCAATTACAGTAAGGTATGATGAGTACTGAAGTCCCTGGGTGGTACAACCTGTTAACATACTTGCTACTAACTGAAAGGTTGGTGGTTCTGGTCCACCCAGAGGTACCTTGGAAGAAAGGACTGGTGATCTACTTCCAAAAATCAGCCATGGAAAACCATATGGAGCACAGTTCTACTCTGACACAGATGGGCTCACCATGAATCAGAACCGACTCAATGGCAACTGGTTTAGGTTTTGTTTGTTTATGACGACTGTTATGATGAGAAAGCCCAGAGTACTATGTAAGCATGTGGCAGGGACCCTAAACCTACCTAGTCCAAGGGTTTGGAGAAGCTGTGAAATGAAAGGTGGGTAAGAGTTCTTTAAACAGAGGAGGTGGAGAATGTTTGGGAAAACGGAACACCCATGAAAGGTTGAGAGAGAGAACAAATCAGAAGAAATGGGAGCAGTTCAGTCTTACCGGGACACAGCAAGTGAGGAGGGGTGGCGAGAGATGATACTGGAGGTAATCAATACGGTTTGCACTTTACCTTAACGGCAATGAGAAGTCACTGAAAGTTCTAAGCACAAATATGCAAAAATTATTAAAAATCAAGATAGAAACAATGAGTGGAAATAATTAGCTAGTTGATTTGAAATATAAGTAGAAAGGAAATCCATTAATTTATTCCTTCCCTGTCTGCTACAGAGATTAGCTGGAAGTCTCTCTTTAGTTTTAACCTTTTTATAGCTGAAACAGGAGCCCTGGTGGTACAGTGGTTAAAGCACTCAGCTGCTAACCCAAAGGTCAGCGGTTCAAACCCACAGCCGCTCGACAGGAGAAAGATGTGGCAGTCTGCTTCAGCTAAGATTTACAGCCTTGGAAACCCTGTGGGGCAGTTTTACTCTGTCCTGTAGGGTCGCTATGAGTTGGAATTGACTTGATGACAGTGGTTTTTTTTTTTTAATATATAGCCGAAATATTACACACGAGAGTGAAATAGAAAAATGTTTGATTTCTTATTTACAAAGTGAGTGCCTGCATACTCAGCATCCTCACTACTAAACTAATGCTGTAGCTCAGAAGGTGATACCCAGGCCAGCCTCCGACAAGACTGGCTTCCTTAAGAGGTGGTGGTAGTCAGGTGGAGCCACGGACATGATGAACCTGAGGAATTGAGCGAGAATCCTACCCAGTTCCATTACTCACTTGGTGTCATTTACTGTCTTCCCGTCTGCAATGAGGATTCTTTCTCCTATGCTCTGGTGAAAGTGCTTGGAAAACTGTGTACCATCACAGAACATCGATGTCTTCCTTATTTTAATTCAGTACCAGAAGAATCTGGAAGAATTTGAAAGCTCTCCCCATAGGCCAATTCTCACTCCTGGCATGAATTCTGAAGGTGGCATTAGAAAACAGAGTCTCCAATGTTACTTAACCACAAAATCCAAAAAGTTGGAGCCAGCTTTAAAGTAACAGGTGTGGGAGTTGAGGTGTGGAGGTGGGGGATGGGCAAGCCAAACAACTCCAGGACTCAACGATGGAAATGTGGGAGCACAACTACACCCACAGACTCCTTCCCCTTAAATGGGCTGTTAGCAAAGGCGTGTGGAACAAAGGAACACTTGGGTTCCTTTGAAAAAAAAGGAAATGCATTAAGAAAGTCAAGACATTATTATAAATTATGTTGTCAGTCTAACTTTCAAGTCTGAACATTCTGAATGAATATTCCAGGTGAATTCATTTTACCAGTCACCTTCCTATTTTCTAATAAAACAAAACAAAACTGATCTTAAAGAAGTTTCTACTCCAACTCTCCACGATCTCCAAAAATGTTGACTTATTATTAAAATACCTTAAATTTTTATTAAGCTGTTTTGTCTGCTATAATACATATTCAATCAAACTTAACGTATTATGACTTTGACAAGAGAATTAGCTATAACCACAGATGAAACCTTAGTTTATAAAATACAGTAGTGGAAGAGTGCAAATTCTAACTGCTAAGAAGTCCCATATTTGTTATGATTAACATAATTTTATATCTTCAGGAATACTCACAGTTCCATTTCTAACTTTTCCAAACATCAAAAAAAAAAAAAATTTTCTCATAGCTACTCACTGAGAAAAAATTTCAGATAAATATGAATCATTTTCGTATCACTGTAATTCCCCTTTTCTCCCACCAGTGGTGCAAATATCCAAAAGTCTTATGCTTCATAGAAATTTGAAAGTTCTTCTGCTTAAAAGGCTAACTGTGAAATAGTGACATCCACTTAAGTTCTCTTGAGTAATACTCAGGGTTACTCTCTTGTGCGGTAGTAGGAAGAGTAAAGGCTGTTCAGAGCATGATTTCGATGCCTAGCTCTTTCTCTACCTTGCTACATGTTATCTGACCACGTAGCCAAGACATGTGGGTCATAAAAAGGCAGCCTTACTGGGTCTCAGGTCCCATTCAGTATAATGGCAAGAATAATTTTTATCAAGCCACTCAGAGATGTTGTGATGCTCAAATAAGGAAGTATAATTGAAAATGCTTTGAAAAGTTTTAAGTACTTTCCAAAAGTATGGGATCATTTTTAAACAATCCTGTCTGACTAGAAAAGAAGCTTGCTCTTTCTTCCAAAAAGTTGAAATCATACGTTTTGTTTTTTTAAAAAAAATCATAGAAGCTAAAATTATACTGAATTTTCTTTAAAAATATATTTCTACTAAAGACTTTCCAATCCATTTAATTGGTTGGTTTTGCAGCTGTGGTTAAGGGGTTCCCATCAGTAAGTAGAAGGTCAGGGCAACAATGAGAAGCAAACAAAATGGAGAGGAGAAGGTCTGATAGGCAGCTGATGGCATAAAAATGTCTTCATACTTGTAAATACTGACAACTTGCTCTGAAGCCGGAGGTGAGTCTATATCATGGCGGGTGATAGAGCCTTTAAGAAAGAAATAAAAGGGGAGGAAGCAATCGAAAAAAGCACAGAATTAAAATAATATATGCAAACAACAGAGAAACAAAAGTCTTTCGTGGTGAGTACATAAGCATTAACTATAAAGATCTGGAATCAGGTATTAGAGTTATTGATCAGAATCTTCCATAGCTGCACATATAATGATGAACAGAAAAAGGAGCTAAATTTATTTTTAAAAAATGGTTCTCATTAATCTGCACTTCCCCCATCAGAACAAGGCTATTTATTGATCTCTCAACAGCACTGCAGCTGTCAGATGGCTACTTAGCCAGCTTGTGTGAATGCCTGCTTCTAATACTTAGCTCAGCCGCTAACCAAAAGGTTCGCAGTTCAAATCCACCAGCTGCTCCTTGGAAACCATGTGGGGCAGTTCTACTCTGTCCTATAGGGTCGCTATGAGTCGGAATTGACTTGACAGCAATGGGTCTTTTTTTGGTTTTGGAATGAATTTTTACTAATACCAAATGGAAAAACTGTATTTTTATTTCAAACAGCGAGAGCTACTATTTTTTCCCCTCAAATATGTCTTTTATATCTGGATCATCATCAACACTTCCTGACCAAACTAAAATCTTTATAGACAGAAGCCTTTCTCATTGTCTGTGGAATATAAAGAGGCAGCCTGTGCTGTGTGTGTGTCTGTGACTATCTGGCAGAGTGAGGTGGTACGGAAAGTAGGAGGATTAAGATACGAAATAAGGCTTTGGGCTTGTTTGGCTTGATAAGAAGCTGAAAGAGGGAAAGGCTATGTGTAAGAATGCTTAAAAGGTTGAAGTTGATTAGAAGTGCCTGACATCCCTGAATAGTCCATTTGAAACTTGAGTTAGAGAAACTAAAGCACTTGAGTTCCGGGCAAAGGTCTCCTTGGCATACAGCTCAGAGTCAGGGTTTTTTCACAGTCAATCCTCATTATTCACGAATTCTGTACTTGTGAATTTGTCTACTCACTATAATTTATTTGTAACCCCCAAGTCAATATCCGCCGTGCTTCCACAATCATATGCGGGCATGCGCAGAATGGCAAAAAATTTGAGTTGCCTGACACACGTTCCCAGCTGTCGAACAAGATGGTGCTCTGCTTCTTATTTCAGCGCTCATACTGTAAACAAGTGCCCTTTTCGAGGTCTATTTAGTGCCATGTTTTTCCTAGGCTTAACCATGCATGTCCAGTTCATATCTTCCTTGAGGGAAATCTAATCCCATACCCTCTGCAAGCCTTACCTCAAAGTTTATTAAGTGACCTTAAGAAAACAGGAATAATTTGGTTAATAAAGAGGCACTAGAAGGGCATTCAAGAAACAGGAAAAGCACAAGCCTATAGTATATAGGATGGGTCCCTGGTGGCGCAGTGGTTAAGCATTTGTCTGCTAACCAGAAGGTCAGCAGTTCAAATCCACCAGCTGCTCCTTGGAAACCCTATGCGGCAATTCTACTCTGTCCTGTAGGGTCGCTATGAGTCACAACTGACTCTACAGCAACAGGTTTTGTTTTGTTTTGTTTTGTTTTTTATAGTAGATGGGATAGGAATGTACCTGTTTTGTTAGGAGACAGTGAGAAAAACAATAGGAGCCCTGAGAAAGCTTAACAGGCAAAGCAGGTCAGATTTGGGGAGAGCTTTGAACATGAGGCTATCATGCCATATATGTAAGAAGATGATCTTCTAAAAGTACAGCACTTTTTCAATTTATAAAGCAATTTCCAATTCTTGTTTTAATTTAATTCTTACACTAATCCTATGAAGTAGGCATTATTATTATCATCCTCATTTAAGATACGAAGAAATTGAAGTTCATAATTTAGATAACAGGCTAAATATCATACAGCTACCAAGGGGCAGCTTAACATTCAAATACAAATTTTTAGATTCCAAATCTCATTATTTTAAATGAATTCATTCTCTAGGCTGAGGTATAACTTATTTCCCAGGGTACGGAAAGTACTTGAAGATATAGTTGCAGATCCACTGTCGGTAATCTGAGAAATCAACAAATGGTAACGGTGTAACCAATCTAGAGGCACCCAAATGTTTTCCCAATTGGCAAGCACCCAAAAAAAAAAAAAAAGGGTGAGTGAGCGCTGATGAAATAAATGCTTGGTGTCGATCTCTACAGAAGTCTCCAGAAGCCCTTTCCTGGTTCAGTATTTTTATCTTTAGAGCATAGGGATTAAGAGTACTCAGTAGCTCTGGAGTCAAACAGACCTGGGATTGAATCTTAGTGCCTCCACTAATTAGTTGTATAGCCTTGGGTGAGTTTTTTAAACTCTCTAAAATGAGAACAATAATACCTCTACCTCTCAAGGACTGGGTAAAGAGTACATGAGAACATGGTGAGCATGAAAAAGAGCCCATAGCCCACATACAGCAGACATATGTCCTGTTTCATTAATCACATAACACATCACATACTCTCTTATACTGCTCTGGCTTCTCATGTGTATAACTCATTTCCATAAAATCCGTTATAACTTTCAGAAGACAGGGGTCGTTTCTTCTTTTTCTTTTACATTATCCAGAGGGCTTATCACTCCCTTACACACATAGTGTGACTTCAGTAAGTAATGAATACAAGCACCATGTTGTCTGGTATTTAATCCAGATGCTAAAATGTGAGCCTACCTTGAATGGCTGGACCCCAAGCAAACAGATAATACCAGCTCAAATGCAGATCAACAATTGTTTCATCTCTGGGAACATTCACAGGGCGTTTAAACCTGCAGGTGACACGACTGTTCTCAAAAACTCCTTCTTCATCTCTGGCAGGATTTCTCTGAATCTCTTTTGCCCACTGGCCTACGTTATAGAAGTGCTGGATGCGGACCCTGCCATTGTCATCATGGACGCAGGCCATAACATCGTCACCACCCTAAAATTAAACGCAATTAAGAAGAGAAAGTCAAAGGTTTGTCTTTTGCAAACTTTTCTGCTAGAAAGAAATCTTACTCAGAAGCATACATGCCATTAACTTTGTAATTTGAGATCCCACCCCCAAATTTTTTTTCTTTTTAATTTTATTTATTTAGTTGTTGTTGTTGAGAACATATACAGCAAAACATACACCAAATTCAACAGTTTCTACATGTATAATTCAGTGACACTGATTACATTCCAGTTGTGCAATCATTCTCATCCTCCTTTTCCAAATTGTTCTTCCTCCATTAACATAAACTCACTGCCCCCCTAAAGTTCCTATATAATCTTTTGAGTTGCTATTGCCAGTTTGAACCCATATAGACGGTTCTTAAAAGAGCATAAGGCTCAAGGCAGATACTTTTTTCTTAGTTAAGCTAAACTTTGTTAGGTTTTAAGAAGACTTCAGGGGATATTTTTGGTTTAAGGTTTAAAGATTATCTTAGAGCAACGGTTTCAAGGGTGCATCCAGCCTTTATGGCTCCAGGAAATCTGGAGTCCATGAGAATCTGAAATTCTGTTCTGTATTTCCTCCCCTTTTGATCAGGATTCTGCTACCAAAAAAATTATTTTAAATGTTACTAAAAGCCTTAACCATGATAGATGTACCTTGAAAACATTATACTGAGCGAAACGGGTCAGATACAAAGGGACAAATATTGTATATCTCACTTACATGAAATATGTAGAATAGGCAAATGCAGAGACAAAAGTTTATTAGTGGTTGCCAGGGGCTGGGGGAGGAGGAAAGAACAGGGAGTTATTGCTTAAGCGGTATTGAGTTTCTGTTTGGGTGATGAAAACTTTTAGAAATGGATAGTGGTGATGGTAGCACAACATGGTGAATGTTATTAATGTCACTCAATGTACACTTAAAAAATGCTTAAAGTGCAAACTTTTTGTTGCATATATTTTACTACAACAAAATTTTTAAAAAAAGAAGACGGAGAATAAAAACCAAGTTAGCATCACAATAAAAGGACAAACTGACATCAAGTGCCTCCTGATGTGATTTTGTGAAAAGAATACATCATCACTTATGTACTATTTTAACCAAAACACATAAACTAACCTAATCATGAGGAAACAATCAGACAGAGTCGAACTGAAGATCATTCTATAAAAAAACTAGACTGTACTCTTCAAAACACTTTTGGTCACAAAGACAAAAGAAAAAAAAAAGGCTAAGAAGCTATTTCAAAACAAAGAAAACTAAAGATACATAGGAGTCCCTAGGTGGTACAAATGTTTAACTCACTCAGCTGCTAAATCAAAGGTTGGAGGTTGGGTCTACCCAGAGGTGCCTTGGAAGAAAGGCCCGGTGATCTACTTCCAAAAAAATCAGTCATTAAAACTTCTATGGAGCACAGTTCTACTCTGACACACATGGCATCATCATGAGTTGGAGTCGACTCCACAACAACTAGTTAAAGATGTAAGACAACTAAACACAATGGTAATGCTAGCCTGAATCCTGGATCATAAGATAAAAATTGCCATAAAGGACAGTACTGGGACAACTGGTGACCTTTGAAAATGGACAGTATATTTGATAATACTATTGCATCAATGTTAAACTGCCTGTATTTAATAAATATACTATATAATGAAATAGAATGCCCTTAATCTTGGGTTAAAAGATCATGATATCTGTTATTTAATCTCAGATGGTTCCCGAATATAATAATAATAAACTTAGTAGTAGTAGTAACAGCAGTAGCAGTAGTAGGGAGAGATGAAACAAGCATAGCAAATACTTTCCTTTGGGGAATCTAGGTGAAGCATAATATATAGTTTACTGTAGTAGTCTTACAGTTTGACTGTATGTTTAAAAAATTTTCAAAGCAAGTTAAAAAACTCAAAGGTTATTATAAAAGGTTTCCATTACGCTTTTCCTATCCATCAAGCTAAAAAAAATTTTTTTTTATCTATGCTTTTTTTTTTAGAATAACAGGAGAAGAGAGATCTTTACTTTCACACAGTGAAAAGGCCTTTAGATAACAAAAGATCTTCTATAAAATTTGACTGTTCCTTACTCCACTGAACCTCCTAATCTGACAGCTCCACATACAGTGCAAATACACTCCAGGACAAGAAATGGTCAATTTCAATCCAAAGCCACTGCTGGATATGGCACACATCTACTGTTTCTCCTACCAACACCACAGTAACAGATAAGTGATATACATTCATATCCATACAGTCTTACCAGTTGTACCGATTCTCCTACTGCCTAGACAGGGAACTGGTGGAGGCTCCTTCTCCTGGTGACCTCTCTGAACTGGCTGGGGAACAAGCCATTGGAGACTGCCCCCCCTCCCCAACCCCAGTCTACTCTACCAACCAAAGTGGGAACAGGAAGCAAAGATAAGTTAATAGCAAATCCTAAGGGGCACAAGGGTGCCAGTACTATGCTAAACATGAACCATGTCCTCCCAGAGCCCCTGAAAGCCTTTTAAGGTAGAGAGAAAAATTCTGTAAGTTTGTTGTTGTTAGGTGTCAAGTCAGTTCCGACTCATAGTGACCCTATGTACAACAGAATGAAACTCTGCCCAGTCCTGCACCATCGACATAATCATTGTTATGTCTGAATGCACTGTTGCAGCCACTGTGCAATCCATCTTGTTGAGGGTCTTCCTCTTTTTCGCTGATCCTTCACTTTACCAAGCATGATGTCCTCCAGGGAGTGGTCCCTCCTGATATCATGTCCAAAGTACGTGAGATGAAGTCTCGCCATCCTCACTTCTAAGGAGCATTCTGGCTATACTTTTCTAAGACAGATGTGTTTGATCTTCTGGCAGTCCATAGTATATTCAATATTCTTTGCCAACACCATAACTGAAAGACATCAGTTCTTCTTTGGTTTTCCTTATTCATTGTCCAGCATGCATATGAAGTACTAGAAAATACCATGGCTTGGATCAGGCGCACCTTAGACCTCAAAGTGACACCTTTGCTTCTTTTTTTTAACACTTTAAAGAGGTCTTTTATAGCAGATTTGCCCAATGCAGTATGTTGTTTGATTTGTTGACTGCTGCTTCCATGGGTGTTGACTGTGAATCCAAGTAAAATGAAATCCTTGACAACTGATAAGTATAAAGAGTGGGAACTGGAATTATGAGATTAAAAGAAAGTTTTTCAAATGCAGCCTACAATGCAATTTGGTCAATGGTAATTATAAATGCACCAGAAGTACTGTGACAGATTGAATTTTCCAAAGATGCCACACTATCATATCCCATTCTGCATATTCTCCCTACAATGTTACAGTCAGTCCTCCCAGAGGTGAGGGCCAACATTTCCTCACTTTGGTCTGAGCGGGCTTGTGGACACAGCAGAAGTGACACTAGGCAACTTCCGAGGCTGTCATAAAAGGCAATGCAGTTTCCACCTGGTCCTCTTGGAATGCTTGTCATCACACTACATGGGAAGGCCATGTGTAGGTGTTGTGGCCACAGCCCCAGCGGAGGTCACAGCCATTAGCCAGCATCATCTGCCAGGCATATGAGTGAGTAAACCTTCAGATGACTCAGCCCCAACCTTCAGCCCTCCCCAGGTGACATGGAGTGGATAAAAGACAAGCTGTCTCCACCAAGCCTTGCCCAAATTGCAGATTCATGCACAAAATAAATGTTGTTGCCATTGTTTTAAGCCACCGAGTTTCTGAGTGGTTTGTTACACAGCAATAGATAACTGGAACATAAAACAATAATGAGACATTTTCTTCAGGCCTTCAAACCTTTGGTTTCATCCCTGAAGTAAAGTTTCCATAGCTCATTATTCTTTATTCATTACATTTCCAGCCTAGGCCTCTCTGTTGAACCTGTGCCTTGTGCCATAGATATCTAAAGACAACTCACACTTTGTTGCTGTTGTTGGTTGTTGTGGAGTCAGCTCTGACTCATGGTGACCCCATGTACAACAGAATTAAATGCTGCCTGGTCCTGCACCACCTTCATCAGTAGGCTAGAGTCCGCTGTTGTCACCCTGTGTATTTTGACTGCCTTCTAATCTAGAGGGCTCATCGTCCAGCACTATTATCAGGTAATATTCTGTTATGATCCATATAGGTTTCATTGGCTAATTTTTGGAAGTAAATTGTCAGGCCTTTCTTCCTAGTCTGTCTTAGTCTAGAACCTCTGCTAAAACCTGTCCACCGTGAGTGACCTTGCTGGTATTTGAAATACCAGTGATATAGCCTCCAGCAGCATAGCAACAAGCAAGCCACCATAGCACCATAGTATGACAAACTGACAAATAGGTGGGGAACTCAAACTTAACACGTCCAAAACCTAACTCCTATCTTTTTTCCCAAACCTTCCTCTCCCACTTTACTTCAGTCTCAGTTAATGGCAACTCCACTTGGCTGAGGACAAACACTCAGGAGTCACTCTTGCTTCCTCTCTTTTTCTCACAACACATATCCAACTGCTACCAAATCCTGTCAGCTCTACCTTCAAAACATATACGAAACCTGGCTACTTCTCACCACCTCACTGGTGTGGCCCTGGTCTGAGCCATTCTCCTCTCTCACCGGTACCACTGCATGAGCTTCCTAACAGGCCAGGTGGAGTGAAGAGGAAGGGTGCTCTAGACAGAGCAGCAGCATATGGAAAGGTACAGAGGCCTAAGAAAGCCTGGCTGTTTGGGAAGAACCCTAGGATAGTGAAGTGGTAAATGATGGGCTGGAGAGGAAGAGAGGAAAGAACATAGTGCAGGTATACAGAGAAGCAGAGGTAAGAGACTGACAATGGCTTTTGGATTCCTGATGCCCTGACTGCTCCTGCTCATAGTCCTTTCTGGGGTCCGGATGTCTTTGTTGTCCACGGGTACTGTGGAAGATTGAATTGTTGGTCCCAATTCTTCACTCCTCTATAGTAGTATTATATACCACTTGCCCTCAAGTCAGTTCTGACTATGGTGACCCTATGGGTGTCAGGGTAGAACTGTGCTCCACAGGGTTTCCAATGGCTGATTTTTTAGAAAGAGATTACCAGATCTTTCTTTAGAGGCGCCTTCTGGGTGGGTTCAAACTACCAACTCTTTGGTTAGAGCCAAGCACATTAACCATTTGTACCATCTAGGGACTCCTGTTATATACTTATATAATACATATATATCATATACTACACATTATGGATTGAATTGTGTCCCCAAAAAATATGTCAACTTGGCTAGGCTACGATTCCCAGTATTGTGTGACTGTCCACCATTTTGTCATCTGATGGGATTTTCCTATGTGTTATAAATCCTACCTCTATGATGTTAATGAGGTGGGATTAGAGGCAGTTCTGTTAATGAGGCAGGACTCAATCTACAAGATTAGGTTTTGTCTTAAGTCAAGGTCTTTTGAGATATAAAAGAGGGAAGTGAGCAGAGAGACATGGGGACCTCATACCACCAAGAAACAAGAGCCAGAAGAATAGTGCGTCCTCTGGACCCAGGGTTCCTGCGTGGAGAAGCTCCTAGACCAGGGGAAGACTGATGACAAGGACCTTCCTCCAGAGCCAATGGAAAGAAAAAGCCTTCCTCTGGAGCTGGCACCCTGAATTTGGCCTTCAAGCTTCCGCAGCACTAGATAACTAAGACACTATATATAACCTGTTGCCGTTGAGTCAATTCCAACTCGTAGTGACCCTATAGGACACAGCAGAACTGCCCCACAGGGTTTCCAAGCAGCGGCTGGTGGATTCGAACTGCTGACCTTATCGGTAGCAGCCAAACTCTTAACCACTATGCCACCATGGCTCCATACTATATATAGTATATATTATATTATCTAGCAACACCTTTGTATGGCCTCTTGGTAGGGCGAGTATCTTCCCCGTCCCTTGACTTTGAGCTTGCCTGCATGACTTGCTATAGGATGTTAGCAAACGTGACGTGAGCAGAGGCTTGAAATATGCTTGTGTGGCTCTTGTACTTCTGCCTCTGCCATGAAAAGAACATGCCTTGGTAGATGCTAGTTCCAGAATGATGAGAGAATACATAAAGAAAACCTGAATCCAACCCACAGACTGGAGCAAAGCCCAGCTGATCCCTACCTAAAATGAGCTGAGTCCCAGCCAACCCACAGACGTGTGAACAAGAAATAAACGCTTACTGTTATAGGCCACGTCATTTTAGAGGCTTTTCTCACAGCATTATTATGGAATAGCTGACAAATACAAATACCACGAGACACCTTGTGTTCTTATAACCAGCCCTTTCTTTTCAGTTTAAGCTAGCTCAAATTTTTTTTTTTAACTCATAATCAGAAAGCCCTTACTAATATAATAGTCGACAATGCTTTGATCAATTTATTCCTTTGCTTTGCAAAAGAAAACCAAATGCCAGAAACTCGCTTTTCACATTTAAAAGTTGCATGGTAGCTCACAGAAACATAACCATGCCTATTATCTAAAATCTAAAGTAGCACAACAAACTAAAGAGAAAAAAATCACCTTCTATTGTGATTTGCTTCTTACCATTTTCTTGTCTGAAGAGAATCCAACTGCTACCCAACCGTCTGTGTCTGCACTCAGCTCAAATTCCACATCAGCCCCTATCATCCGGTAGCTAAGGAAGTAGTCACAGGTCTCTGCATTACAGCCTGGTTTGCCATATCTACACGGTATATCAAAAGACATATTATTGCTTCTTTATCTACTCATTCAAAATATATTTAGAGAGCATCTACTATTTATCAGGCAGGATGCTAAGCAATATTGTTAAATAAATTAGATTTTTGCTATCTGGGATCTTAAAAACACAGTTTCACTCAGGAAGGGGCTTGGAGATTCTCTGCTCCACTTTACATATAAGCTGCAGTCCAGACGGGATGGGGCTTGCCCAAGGTCACACAGTGAGTTAGTCACTGCAATAGGACTTGAATTTGGGTCTCCAAACTCCCAGCCAGTCTTCTTTAAATTACATTAGAGTTTCTCAAACATTGTTGATTACTGAATTATTTCTGAATCCCTTTTAGAGGAAAAAAATCCTGAGTTAATAATTTAAATTGTTTTTGTTACTTAAATGTATACCAACTCATCTTTACTTACATATTTTCATACAACCATTAAACTAACACAAGTTTACAACTTACATATAAATTAAATAAAAAACAAAACCAGGACCATTTAAATTAACAGCATTCTTGCAATGGATAATGTGGTTTTATGGAAAGTAACTTTCTGCTCATATGGATGTGGGAGATCCTGAGCAGGGTCTTTTGGGTTGAGCATGCCCTCCCTAATGAACACAGCATGATGGCTCAACTCTCCTCCACTCTTATCTGCTTGAACTGCAGCAAAACTGTCATTCATAAATGCACTGAAAAAACAGTTCACCTGGAATTCACTGAGCGTCAATGCATCATTTATTAAATTTGCCTTTGCTCTTTTGGGCTACCTGTGGTGCTAATACAACTACAGATTTATACACTAAGGCATGTCGCAGTATAAGGTGGTTATTCAGATAATCAGATTATGCATACATTAATCTTTTTAAAGAATACCACTGAAATGACAACACAAATTTTAAATTTCTTACAGAGGACTTGTGGATCCTTTAAGAATCAGCAGGCCCTGGGTTGAGGAACACTGTATTACATCATTTTCATAAGGAGAGATGATTGTAACAATGGGTGAGACAGTCTCAGCTCTATTGGCAAATGGAGGGTATCTAAAGGAACAGGACACAAGGCAGCTGAATTCTGACTAAGGAGCGAGGCAAGGCACGTGCTAGCAGAGATACCCTGAGCAGCTGGCAAGAGATATAAGATCAAGGCAACACAAAACTGGGGTGAAAAAGTTGAAAAGAGGTAAGGAAAGCTAAAGGAAGGGTGAATAGGCTGGAAAACAAGTCACGCTAGTCAGTGAGGTACTGACATTCCTTTCCTTCTCAAAAGCATCTCCCAGTCACCAGAGGTATATATTGCTGGTCATCTTCCTCAATAGTCATATTATCGAATATTTTTTATTCCTTAGAAATGCCCTTACAATGCAGACAGCTCAAAACCTCTGTATTAGATTTATCCTCCTTAGACCTTAAGCGTTTTAACAACAACAAAAATCAGAAACTTTGGTGAAGTAGCCAACAAAACCTCTACTCAAGGGCAATCTGTTTCAGGAAATAAACGATGGAAGAGAAGAGGGCCTTTCCAACAAAACAAAGCTGTCTACATGGGGAGGCCTACTATTTACACTACTGTTTTCAAGCCCCAGCCCATCTGTAAGCTTGATAGACTACTAATACTAATTGATAGAATACTAATAATAATCATGTAGGGACTCACTATGCCTGAGGTGAGGTACCAACCTAGACGCAATAATTAAGGCTTAATGACCAGTAAGAATCATACAAATATCTGTAAGTCATGACTATTTATTTGAAAAAATACTGAGGATCAGACATGTCTACCATTGCCTGTCCTGCCCATAGCCCTGGCTGAATAAGCACGATCATGTCCCATATCACATGATCCTTCCTCAGCAGTCAACTAGCTAAGAGTAGAACCTGTGCCAAAGGCAGTGCAGCCATAAGCTAGCCAGCCATCTATGAATTATTGTGGTCTGCCTCAAAGAGATGCCCTGGGCCAGGACCTAATGGATTCTCTTTTTCAGGAATTTAAATTAAGAACCAGAGAAGAATGTTCCAGTGCCTGGTGAATACTAGAGTTAAAGGGCCTGTAAACTGAAGACTTGGGGTGGCCCGCAGAAATAGGCTTCGCGTTTGCTTAAATTATGACAGGGTATATAAGTCCCCGAGAAGAATGAACTGCACCCGATTTAAATACTACCTTGAAAAGTGAATCAATTTCTTAGCCTTAAAGTTATTCAACTTGTTGTTCTACCAACCTAAAACATCCCTTGGTTTTTCCACAGTCTTCCACTTTGATTTTGGCAAATGGATCCACAGGAGGAGCAGTAGGGAAAGGGTAACCTGGGCAGTAAAAATAAATAATGGTCAGAAAACCCAGTAACAACTTCTCCAATGAGAAATAACTTTTTTTAATGTGTTGACTATTCATGTTGTTGTTGTGTGTTGATTTCAACTCATAGGGACACTACAGGACAGACTAGAAACGCCCCATAGGGTTTCCAAGGCTGTAATCTTCATGGAAGCAGACTGCCACATCTTTCTCCCGAGGAACAGCTGGTGGTTTGAACTACCTACCTTTAGGTCAGCAGCAGACAGCTTAACCACTACACCACCAGGGCTCTTTTCTCTATCACATCAAAAAAAGAAAAAAAAAAAAAAACCCAAACCCATTGCTGCCGAGTTGATTACAACTCATAGTGACCCTGCAGGACAAAGCAGACTGTCCCATAGGGTTTCCAGGCTATAAATCCTTATGGAAGCAGACTGTCACACTTTTCTCCCCTGGAGCAGCTGGTAGGTTTGAACTGCCAACCTTTTGGTTAGTAGCTGAGCACTTAATCACTATACCACCAGGGCTCTTTTTCTCTATTACACAGGTCTAGAAATGTTTGGGTCCCCAGAGAAGGCTTTGGTTAAGCCTGATCATCCTCTTCATGGGGGAAAGAAGTAGGACACACATCTTTGGACCCAGCCTTACACATGAACTGAGAATATATACACTCTTTCCTCATTCTGCAGGCAAGGAACCTGAGACAGTGAGAGGAAGCATCATTTCAAATAACCACTGGCTCACCTCCGTCCCTTGGGAGTTTGGACATGAGAATTTTAATATAATACACATGCTATAGGAGAAAAAAATAAACAATTAAACATTTATATACTTGATAGTAAGGCTTTTTTCATTTCTATACATGCTAATATGATCTTTCCATTCCATTTCTCTGAACGTCCATCTTTCATTAAGCTGTATGTAAGATGTTCATATCTCACTAAATACTTTAAACACAGTTTCTAACAGCCGTGTATCTTTAAGATTACTTTCCACCATAATGCATCAAACCATACACTTAAGGGTTGTTGCTGTTGTTAGGTGCCATCAAGTCAGTTCCAACTCACCAACAACCCTATGTATAACAAAACAAAACGGTGTCTGGTCCTGCGCCATCCTCACAATCCTTGGTATACTTGAGCACATTGTTGTAGCTGCTGCGTCAATCCATCTTGTTGAGGGTCTTCCTCTTTTTTGCTGGCCCTCTACTTTACCAAGCATGATGTCCTTCTCCAGGGACTGATCCCTCCTGATAAGACGTCCAAAGTATGTGAGACGTAGTCTCACCATCCTTGCTTCTAAGGAGCATTCTGGTTGTACTTCTTCCAAGACAGATTTGTTCATTCTTCTGGCAGTCCATGGTATATTCAATATTCTGTGCCAACACAATTCAAAGGCACCAATTCTTCTTTGGTCTTATTAATTGTCCAGCTTTCACATGCATATGAGGCGATTGAAAACACCATGGCTTGAGTCAGGCGCACCTTAGTCTTCAAGGTGACATCTTTGCTTTTCAACACTTTAAAGAGGTCTTTTACAGTAGATTTGCCCAATGCAAAATGCGTTGTTTGATTTCTTGACTGCTGCTTCCATGGGTGTTGATTATGAATCCAAATAAAATGAAATCCTTGACAACCTCAATCTTTTCTTCGTTTATCATGGTGTTGATTATTTGTCCAGCCGTGAGGATTTTTGTTTTATGTTGAGGTATAATCCATACTGAAGTCTGTGGTCTTTGATCTTCATCAGTTAAGTGCTTCAAGTCCTCTTCACTTCCAGCAAGCAAGGCTGTGTCATCTGCATATTGCAGGTTGTTAATGAGTCTTCCTCCAATCCTGATGCCCCGTTCTTCTTCATGTAGTCCAGCTTCTTGGTTTATTTGCTCAGCATACAGATTGAACAGGTATGGTGAAAGGATACAACCCTGATGCACACCTTTCCTGACTTTAAAATATGCAGTATCCCCTTGTTTTGTTCGAATGACTGCCTCTTGATCTATGTACAGGTTCCTCATGAGCACAATTAAGTGTTCTGGAATTCCTATTCTTTGCAATGTTATCCATAATTTATTATGATCCACACAATCGAATGCCTTTGCATAGTCAATAGTCAATAAAACACAGGTAAACATCTTTCTGGTATTCTCTGCTTTCTGCCAGGATCCACCTGACATCAGCAATGATATCCCAGGTTCCACGTCCTCTTCTGAATCCAGCTTGAATTTCTGACAGTTCCCTGTCGATATACTGCTGCAGCCACTTTTGAATGATCTTCAGCAAAATTTTACCTGCATGTGATATTAATGATATTGTTCGATAATTTCCACATTCAGTTGGATCACCTTCCTTGGGAACAGGCATAAATACGGATCTCTCCCAGGTGTCTGGCCAGGTAGCTGTCTTCCAAATTTCTTGGCATAGACAAGTGAGCACTTTCAGTGCAGCATCCGTTTGTTGAAACATCTCAATTGGTATTCCATCAATTCCTGGAGCCTCGTTTTTTGCCAATGCCTTCAGTGCAGCTTGGACTTCTTCTTCGGTACCACTGGTTCCTGATCATATGCTACCTCCTGAAATGGTTGAACATCGACCAATTCTTTCTGACTCTGTGTATTCCTTCCATCTTCTTTTGATGTGTCCTGCATCATTTAATATTTTCCCCGTAGAATCCTTCAATATTGCAACTCGAGGCTTGAATTTTTTCTTCAGTTCTTTCAGCTTGAGAAATGCCCAGTGTGTTCTTCCTTTTTGGTTTTCTACATCGAGGTCTTTGCACATGTCGTTATAATACTTTACTTTGTCTTCTCAAGCTGTTCTTTGAAATCTTCTGTTCAGCTCTTTTACTTCATCATTTCTTCCTTTCGCTTCAGCTACTTGACGTTCAAGAGCAAGTTTCAGAGTCTCTTCTGACATCTATTTTTGCCTTTTCTTTCTTTCCTGTCTTTTTAATGACCTCTTGCTTTCTTTGTGTATGGTGTCCTTGATGTCATTCTACAACTTGTCTGGTCTTCGGTCATGAGTGTTCAACGTGTCAAATCTATTCTTGAGATGGTCTCTAAATTCAGGTGGGATATGCTCAAGGTTGTACTTTGGCTCTCGGGGACTTGTTCTAATTTTCTTCAGTTTCAACTTGAACTTGCATATGAGCAATTTATGGTCTGTTCCATAGTCAGCCCCAGCCTTGTTCTGACTGATGACATTGAGCTTTTTCATCGTCTCTTTCCACAGATGTAGTCAATTTGATTCCTATGTATTCCATCTGGTGAGGTCCACGTGTATATTCACCATTTATGTTGTTGAAAAAAAGTATTCGCAATAAAGAAGTCGTTGGTCTTGCAAAATTCTATCATGCAATCTCTGGCATTGTTTCTATCACCAAGGTCATATTTTCCAACTACCAATCCTTCTCTGTCTTCAACTTTTGCATTCCAATCACCAGTAATTATCAATGCATCCTGACTGCATGTTTGATCAATTTCAGACTGCAGAAGTTGGTAAAAATCTTCAATTTCTTCACGTTTGGTCTCAGTGGTTGATGCGTAAACTTGAATAATAGTCATATTAACTGGTCTTCCTTGTAGGCGAATGGATATTATCCTATGACTGACAGCGTTGTACTTTAGATCTTGAAATGTTCTTTTTGACGATGAATGCAACGCTATTCCTCTTCAATTTGTCATTCCCAGCATAGTAGACCATATGGTTGTCTGATTCAAAATCACCAATACCAGTGCATTTCCGCTCACTAATGCCTAGGATATCAATGTTTATGTGTTCCGCTTCATTATTGATGATTTCCAATTTTCCTAGATTCAATACTTCATACATTTCATGTTCCGATTATTAATGGATGCTTGCAGCTGTTTCTTCTCATTTTGAGTGTAAGACGGCTACCCTTATACTTAAGGGTAAGCCTGTATTATGCTTTCAGTTTGTGACCATGAAAAACCAAACCAAACCTGTTGCTGTCAAGTTGATTCTGACTCACAGCGACCCTATAGAACAGAGTAGAACTGCCGCATAGGGTTTCCAAGGAGCAGGTGATGGATTTGAACTGCTGACCTTTTGGTTAGCAGCTGAGCTCTTTACCACTGTGCCGCCAGCGCTTTCTCCTAGACTGTTCACTCCATGCACACAGGAACCATGTCTGATTCATCTTGTAATCTCTGCCCAGCATAGTGCTTGGCACTGAACACTGAATACATGATTGCTAAAAAATAAATAATCACCTATAGACATAAGGTAATGTAAATGAATTGTTGTTATTGTTCCTAAGTAAGCCCCTGACTTATGGTGACCCCATGCACAATGGAATGAAATGCTGTCCAGTCCTGTGCCATCCCCATGATCAGTTGCAGCTCAGAATGCTGTGATCCATAGAGTTTTCACTGGCAAATTTTCAGAAGTAGATCATCAGGCCTTTCTTCCTTGTCTGTCTTAATCTGGAAGCTCCGCTGAAACACAAACCTTCAGTGACAGACGAGTGGTATTTACGCATGAGGTGCACTGGCTGGAAATCGAACCTGGGTCTCCTCATGGAAGGTGAGAATTCTACCACTGGACCACCACTGCCTCAATGTAAATGAACAGAAACTTTGAAAAACTATTTTAGTTATTTTATTACTTTTTCTTTTCCTGTTAGTTTGCTTTAAAGGTTTTTCTTTGTGATTTGTAGTGTTTTTAATTGATTTTGCTTATTTTGTTCCATTAGATTTATTACATATATATGTGGGGATACATGCCATTTAAACATGGCTACACTATTGACAACTGCAGCTCCCACAGGCCTCTATGCTGCACAGCATGTTGAGACTTGTCCCCAACATGTTGAGACTTGTCACGACTTGTTTTCCCAAACCTATTGTCCTGTTACTGATTGGCCTGTT